TTAGAAGATTTTCATAGTTTTTCCCTAATTGCCTAATGTTTCCCTTTCTTCATAATCCAGTTCCAGTTGCTAATTGCAATACTGCTCGAACTCAGGACCACTCTAGAAGTGTGGGGTATAACAGAGCAACGTTGATACCTTATTGTCTTATGCGACCTTAGCGAATTTATTTGAAAGGAATTGTCATTCTGTATAAGAGCTGCTGTCACGTCATATGGTGCAGCAGCTTATTCAACTCAACAATTTTTTTTGAGTGAGAGCAAACGTATGATTTTCTTATAATCATCTTTGTCCACACTTCTCTTATCCCACTTTGCTTTGTCCGATTTTGTTCTGAGCGGGTTTTCAACGAATACAAGTAACTCCAACGTGCTTTTCTAGGACTACTGAACAAAAGAATCTTCTACTTCATCTAATTTCCTTTCGCATGAACTGGAGAGAAAGGAAGTTTGGAGTGTCCTTCTTCTTTGTTTGCCCGAGTTTTCACATTGCGTTACATCAATCTTTTGAGATTTTTTATTAAAATCTCGCGATAACGAGTATGTTAAATACGTGTTTGAAATAGCTCCTAAATCAAGCAATTGGAATGTTGCCCATGAAACACGAATTGTTTAGGTCATATCCTACCGTTTATCTGAAACCCTAATAAAATCATACATGTTATGATGGAGCTTGTGCACCTTATCGACTACGGTGTATGCATAACAATTATATGGATGCAAACAACTGAATGAATTGGCATGACATCTCATACTCAAAAAGATGTTTCTGCAATTACCTAAAAACAGCTAGAAAGCCAGATGAAACGAATGGAAATTGAAGTCAGATAGATTGTCTGAAAATTACCAGGAACGCGTGTACGATGGACAGTAGATTAGGTTCCAAAATTCCTGCGGTAAATTAGATTATTAATTTAAATCTACTTCTTTTTTCACGAAGGTCAGTTGAGTATATAATTATCCCCAAAGGGCTCATGTGTGTCTGAATATCCCTCACCTAGAATGTGGCCAGTAAGG